AAGTGAAAAAGAAAAAAATAAAAATAAAAAAAGAGAAAAAAAAAAATCAGTGAGGACAGGGCAGGGCACCCAGGCTCCGTCTGAACACACAGACTGTGATGGAGTTCTTGTGGGCCCAGAAGGTATGTGGCAGTGGGGGATGGCCACACCTCCGTTCACCAAGCGGGTGTGGGGTATAAGAGTAACAAGAGGAATGTCGTTATGTTTTCAGTCTTGTAGGTCCTGAGTGTCCTTGGGGTTGCTGGAAAGCAGAATGTTCTTAAGCCCCAGGAATCTGCGAGAGCACTGTCTCTTTAAATATCCAAAGTAGTTAAGCTGCTTTTTAAACCTTCAAAATGGCGGTGTCCTCCAGACCGGCAAAAGTCCACAGCTCGATCCACCTTTCTCTTCACCTTCTCTATTTGTTCCCTAGCCACGGTGCACAGTCCTCCATGCAGTCCCTGGCTAGCAGGGTGATTTTTAGATTAATTCTTAGGTCGTACCACCACTCGGGAATCTCCAAGCTGTCTGTGCTGTCAGGATCGCTCAGGATCACTGCCAGACCACAGCTCCGTATGTCTCCTCTTTTGGTGTTTTCACGCAAATTCTTCTGCTAGTTGGGGTTTAGTCCACTTCTATATCCTTCCCTTCAAGGCTCAGGAGTCCAGGATTATCTTCTGTGTCTGTGTTAATTGGTTTCCCTTTTCTTTGTTGAAGAGGGTCTGTGCAGTCTTTCTGCCTAGTCTGCCATCTTGCCAGAAGCCTTAAACTGGAAGCTTTTTACACTTGCTTTTCTAGTCTTGTTTTTCTGCTTACCTTTATAAATGATTGACTATAGTCAAACTGAGCCATCATTCTCCCCTGAATGAGTCTCTCTGAATAGTACTGATTCTGGGCTTTTGTTTCCTTCCTTTTTGCCTTAGAAAACTCTTTTGATTTACATAGACCTGGTTTGACATCTTAGCTTTGCCACATATTATGTCACTTCTGGCAAGTTACAGAATCCTCTGAGTCAGTTTCCTCACCTATGAAGTGAGACAAGTGCCGTAGTCACAGGCTGTTCTGAGGAGTAAATGAAGTGACAATATACACAGAGAGACAAACACATACACATAACACATACATACAACACACAAACCACACACGCAGCACATACCAAAAACAAAACCAAACTCACTGCCGTAGAGTCAGATCTGACTCATAGTGACTCCTCCTTGGGTTTCCGAGATGATATCACTACGGATTAAGGTACAGCTGACATAAGCCATGGTATTTTCAATCACCTCATATGCATGTGAGAGCTAGACAATGAATAAGGAAGACCAAAGAAAAACTAATGCTTTTGAGTTGTGGTGTTAGTGAAGAATGCTGAAAGTACAATGGACTGCTAAAAGAACTAACAAATCTGTCCTGGAGCTCCTTGGAAGTGAAAATGGCCAGACTTCGTCTCACATACTTTGGTCATGTTGTCAGAAGGGACCATTCACTGGAGAAGGATATCATGCTTGGTAAGGTGAAGGGTTGACGAAGAGGGGAAGGCCCTCAACAAGATGGACTGACAAAAT